AATGACCACTGTATGTTTGGTTCATTATGGTACAAAATGGTGCACCTGTTACAGATGCATGTGTCCGTTGGCCTCAGGTGTGCCTGTCTCGGCCAGCGGAGCGCGTGATTAGCCTCCACTGCCGGCCATCCATCTTGGGTGCTGGAGAGGACGGGTGGGGGTAGGTTGACAACAGACCTAGCTGGCCTAGCCCCGGGATACAACTATGTTTCCATCCACCTACCAAACACACACACACACACGCACACACACACACACACACACATACACACACACACACACACACACTGCGCGCGCAGCAGCAGCAGCAAGACTGCAGGTTAATGGCTTTGACTCCTGTCCACTCCATCCCTCTCACTCTTTCCGTCTCCCCCTCTCTCCCCGTCATTTCTTTGTCTTAGTCAAATGTTTGCTCTCTCTGTCTAAATCTCCGCCAGTCTCCCTCACCTCCATACCGCCGCCGTCCCCTTCCGTGCCTTTCCCTTCCGTTTCTCCATTTGTTTCCTCCATTACCTTTCCATCTCCTCATTACCTCACTTCAGGTTCCTCTCCCTCTCTCCTGTCTCACCTAGAGTGGGTGTTGCATATGTATGAGGAACGTGACAAAGTGCTGCCCTCAGCGCAAACACAGCCATGCATCCAGAGAGTCGAGTTAGTACGATGAAGAGGAAGGAAGCAAGGGAACAGGAAAGGATTAGGTGAGGAAAGTTAGATGTGATGTTACTTTTTCTCTTGTCAGGGTTTCCTTGTTGTGTGCCTGTAAACACTTTAAACATTGGAAGTAATTACATATATATATTGCAATGTGCTACTTGCTATAGGAAAAATACAACAATGATTAGGATGCTAATGATAGCCTAGCCTTCTGTGTAATTCACATATAGCAAAATAACACCAGTAACATGTTTTGAATGGTGTTGTGTTTGAAGGCATTGTTTCCACTTTCCTTTAATTATTCTGAGAACAGAGTGAATACTTTAAAAGTTAAATAATGTTCCTTATCAATACAAACATATGTTGTTTTTTTTGATCGTTTTTGTTATCTTTATTTAGCTTTAGACCACCTCAAAACGTCCTTGATAACTGTCTGTATAGAATGTAGCTTCAGTGTGCTGTTTTCACAACAGTACAGAGTATTTTGGAAGGAAGTAGAGCAAGAAACAGGTGTTTGTGTTGACATAGACGACACAATGAAGGGAGAAAGGAGAGATAATAAGAGAGCCGGAAACAAATGTACAGTGTCAGAAGATGTCTTACTCTCTCTTCTAGCTCAGGCTCATGTTTTAATGTACATTTAATTAACTGTACATTAAAAGTCACATCAAAAGTTGTTCATAAAAGTCTTTACTGACACTCCGAAATCAATCTAACAGGAAGTGGTGTTAGGATGAATAGGGAATTCTGATGGAGTTGAGGAAAAATAACGGATGAGTAAAGACAAATAGTGAGAAGACAAACAGACAGGTCGTTCCTCTCGTCATCTCCTGCGACGTGCTACCTTAGGCCAGTTGCCAGGCAACGGTGTGCTTGACAACCGCCGGGGATGAATTATATGGCTCTCCGGTCGCAGCGAGGAATCGTGGGTAGCCAATGTCAAACAACCTTCCCCTCGAAACACACACACAAGGTCAATATGAGGGCACTCATCTTTTACCATCGGGAGAACAGAGAAAACAGCATGGCACGCTCCTTTGGTGTGTGTCAAGAGATACGGTCGTATCACATTCGCACACTTACACACAGTTACACACACACACAGGTATGTATTGCAGCATTTTATTCCTGCAAGTACCACTAATCTGCTACTATCTTAGTAAATAAGGGCATACAGTTACTTTTACGAAAATCAATTGCATGTATTCCGTGACTCCCCAAGCTTGGGTACACACACCGATAGAAACATATCCATGTAAGCCCAAATGCGTGGGTGTTAATATCAGCGAGTCAGAATTTGGCAGTTGTGTGTGTTTGTGTATACAGTATGTACGCTTGTTTATACTCCTCCCCACCGTCTCACGCTGAGCCCATGAATAAGTGAATATCTGTGCATCCCACCGCGTAAGCCCACCTGCCCGTGTTTTGCTCCCGCTTACTCCCCGAGCTAACACCTTGATGGAGACCCACAACTGTTTACACCTGTTGCTTATGCTAATGCTACCGTTGATGCACGCACACACAAACTGAACAGCCACAGTGGGAGTGGAGAAGAAACACCTCCAGTCGCTGCAACAGTAGCTGCATTTCGGGGTTAGAGTAGAAACATTACACATTACACGGAATCAGACAGTTCTTTATGAATGCAAAAAGGAAAGTTCAGAAGTCTCTTTTTGAAAGTCCGAATTGAGTCTGAAGACACTGTGTGTGCTGATATATTAAATTGTAATTTAATTTACCAACAACAATTCTTTAAATGACTACAACGAAAATGTATGTTCCATCAAAAACGTATACAAACTAATTATCCTTATCCTATAATGTCCAATATGCTAGCGCGCTATAGCAAATAGAAGCGTGAGTGTTACATAGTGATGTCACTTTGTTACAAAAGTAAATCAGAGGAGGTCACAGGGATTTTAGCCTTTTGGGACCTTTTTAAATGCACAAAAACATACAGTACTACAGGAATGGGAAAATCCCAAAAAGCATAATTTGGCCTATTTAAAAACAAACTATGTGTATGTGATTTATTTTTGAAAGATTGACACCCTCACAAAAAAAAGGGGAATTATGCAAAAGAGATAGAGAATTAGGAAGAAATAGACATTTTCTATGTATTTTTAGAGATTTAGTCTCAATTAGACAAATCAAGAATTCTGTCTCTCTCATTTTCATGAACAGACCCCACTTCTTTGTTGTGAATGCTGTTGTTTGTTACATGTGCTTTTCTCCGCCCCTCCCATGTCTTGTTGGTAGCTACTGTCAGTAAAAGCAGGAAGCACTCCGTTCTGCCTGGCTGCCTGTGCTGCTTAAAAGCAATGGTGCGTTCACAACAATACGATAAAGCTGCTCTGATGAGGTGTCACTCAAACAACACGCTGCTGAAACAGATGAGGCAGTTTAATAGCGTGAGTGCATGTGTGTGGGTTTTCTCATGTTTATGCTAATCTGGCATGTCTGTCCTGTGCTATCAGCAAACCGGTAGTGCTGTGCTGCATTATTGCTTGCAGTTTTGAGTGTGTGCAAAGGAAACGTAGAAGAGAGAGCGGTGTGTTTGTGTTAGGTAAACACATCTTGTTTGTGTGTGTTTGTGCCATTAATTTAGCAGGGTTCTGGAAGCGCTAAGGCAGGCCAGTCTCTTAGCGTAGCCGCGCTGCCACTGCTTATTAATCAACCTGGCAGACAGACAGCGGTGGCACTGCCCCTCCGCCTGCCAAATAGCGAGCTGGCCTCACTCTGATAACTTTCAACACACGACACCCACTGCTCTGAGGCTGCCAAATTAGGAGCAACTCCGGCTAACATAAGTCTAATAGTCTCATGCTGCAGGAGGGTGATAGACTGTGGCTCGCCTTGAGGACTGATGGTTTGGGGGCTGCGAGGGGGGGGGTTAGTTTCTTCACCACACAGTTTTTATATCTTTTTCACTCACCGTCTCTTGTTGTAATGTTCAGTCATACATCCACACCATAGCAGTTAGTGTTTTCTGAGTATAACTTTCAACAGGGATTTCGGAAATACTTATTACGTATCTTATTTTGTATATTTATCTACGTTCCGTTGACCTTTGGGAAGTTTTCACATTGCAAAGGAAATGTTGTGTAAAGTGCCGAACACATATGGTCTTTACAGGGTAATAAGTTAGTAAAAATTCGGTGGTAGGTTTTGCGTTGCGATACTCAGAAATTCGCATCGTCTGGTATTTCTTGTGGTTTACTTGTGTTTGTAGTGAGCCCGACGTCACCCTCCAGAAAACTCCTGAATAAATGTGAAGTCCGATGTTCGCCTAGGTGTGTAAGTTAGAAGACTGGGTATGGTTCTCTCAGTGTCAAACCGTGCCAGGTTAAATACGCTCCCCCTTTACAACGGTGTTTCTAAAACCGTCGAGGTCCAAACGAAGACGACGATTGGGTACTCGACCTTAACGTTTATCCACAGGAGAAAAAAAGACCTGTCTCTTTGACGAAAACTGACAAGTGGGCTGGTAATTCGGGTAAACCAAAACCACCTATGAAGGACGTAGCGTCCACAATAAAACTTGCACTGTACTACACGTCGCAGAGTGGTCAAATTCATACTTTTTTATGTACATAAAAGAAGAGGAGGGAAATGTGTGAAA